ATCCGCGAAGGCATGTATGGTTGACTACTGGGCCTGCCAAGGCTGATCCCGATCTTCGGTTTGACGACTGGACCCCCTCCGCGTTCCACTGCAACTGCATGCCCCCACACTTGCCTGACCAATTTCGCCTGGGTATCGTTCCTAGATGAGTTGGCGTGCGTGGATACGCGAGGAGTCACACAGTTGTCCCGCGCTTGACCATGGAACCCCCGCGGCACATCGACGCCTGGCGGTCTTCGGCAGCCTTCGCCAGTCTCCACTGGTATGCAGCGGTATTCGACGGTCTTCCGCGCGAAAGATGGATGGCTGCTCGGCGGTGAACAAACCTCCCTTTAGTAAACCTCCCCTTAGTGAAAACTGCCTGGGACCGAAACCGACGGACCTGGACCCGCGAAAATGACGGCCGCGACGCCCTCCCGCGAACCGAAGACGGCCAATTCCGAAATCGACGTGTCAGGGAAGGAGGTCGATCCACCTCCGGTCCAAAAACGAGGCCCGTGGCACTTCTGAGTCTCAGTGGCGGGGCTGCACGCCTGAAGAGCCAGGGCGGGGCTGGCTGGCCCCGCCTGCGCGCGCGGCCCGCTGAGGCCTCGGCTGGGCCTCGCTGTAGTCTTCTGGATGCCACGAAAATGGACACTCTAACAATCCGATGTTTGAAACATGTTTTAGACATCTGGAAACAATTTGGCACCATGCTTCCTCTCCATTAATCGTCCTCCACAACTGTGGTCGGCAGCGAGCGAGGGGGGGAAATGAGAAGGACAAGGCCTGCTCAGAAGGCGGCGGGAGGCGGCGAGACTTCTGAGAAATTCGCCGGCCCAACGGGCCAGAGGCGTGCTAAGATCTCCGGTAACTTGTTAACAATATTTCTAGTTCGCGCGCGCGGAGCGGCCCCTGGGGGCCCCCGGACGAAAAGTACCCCGGCAAGGTCCCGAGAGAAGCCCGGGAGAAGCCACCAGACCACTCCAGGGGAGGGTATTTTTCGACACCCCTCACGAGGATCGTGGCCTCCGAGGGGGGAGCCGCAATCGACTACCCCCAAGAGCCCCCCAAGAGGCCCTGGGGGCCTCCAAAACGCCGCCAAGGAGCCCCAAGAGACTCCCAAGAGGTCCCCAAGAGGTCCCCAAGAGGCCCTAAAGAGGGCTCCAGGGCCGGCGGCATGAGCGAAGCGATTAAATAATTTTCCCGTCTTCGGGGAAGGCTCAGAACACTTCTCAGAAGGCCGGGGGGGCTTCAGAACCATCTGAGAAGGCATTATCCTTCTCACTTCCCCCCCTCGCTCGCCGCCGATATAAGTCGGCGAAATGCGCGAGGGGTGGGTCGGTTTTAGCTGCTGGTGTCTATCGCACAGGAGACACTTCGCAAGAGGGGCCAAGAAAGACAAGAGGCAGAAAGGGCAACGGAGGTGACAGGGGAAGCCGGCGGCTGAGGGGCATGAGAAGGAAACAGAGACAGGGAAGGTGGGGCCGAACCGCGGGGAGCGGCTACATGGGAGAGCTGCAGGGAAAATCTGACTACCTACCAGACCACCCCAACCCAACCCGAAAACCCGAATTTGACCCGAATTTCGGATTCGGGGGGGTACGGATTCCATGTGTTTTTGTCAACGTTCCCCGACCCCCCCCAACTGGAAATGGAGGGCAGATTGAGGGCTTCGGGTTGGGTTGGGACGGTTTGGTGGGTGGTGAAAATCTGGCTTAAGGGAGCAGCCCACCAGGGCGACGGCGGCCTCAGAACGCATACGACGTGGCGACGACGGCAGGAGCATCGCCGCACGACAGCACTCGGCTCGGCGCGCACCAGGCGCCTGGCGGGGGTCGCAGAACGCCGCGCCACCGCTCGGTCAGCCCATGCAGAGGCCGCAGGTTAAGGCGACTCCCAGAGAGGGAGGCCCCAGAAAGGGAGGTTCCTCCTCCTCCTCCTCCTCCTCCTCCTCCTCAGGCAGACCACCGCATCATGATGGGGTTCAGCCCGCCCTGAACGGGAAGGCGGCGAAGGAGGGCGGTGAGCAGCGTCGGGGCGCAACTACATCCGCGGCCTCCTAGAAGCCTGAGGGCGACGAGGACCACGCTTGCGCTCACATGCCTGAGAAGTGCACTAAGACAGCGCTCCCCAAGGACTGTCTGCTTCAGGACAGGATGCACCAGGAGATCAAGTAATGTCCTTCTTCTTTTGAAGGGCGGCTGCAAACCTGCAAAGAACGAGCTCCGCCACCTGACACTGTGACGGCGATCGTCGCGATGGGAATCGGAAAGTTGATCCCAGATCGCATAACATCTGATCTGGGCCCAGCGTGAACAGTGCGATTAGCGACTGCATTCAGTCGGCTGAGCACCCCGCGGGGAGCAGCATAATTAGCAAACACATGTACTCCAAGGGAGCTCTCATCACAGCCGCGTTCGAGAAGTCGGCGCGGGCACAGCAGCTCCTCGCCTCGGACCCAGATGCTGCCCCGTGTTGTCTGGTACCCGAGAATGAGAAAGACAAGACAGGACAGGAGCCTCGGGGCCTGCTCCTGGAAGAGCGGCCCCCTAAAGGGCAGGCGGTTCAGATGTTCCGCTGCGGCGAGCACACGTTCAGATCCCTTTCTGCTTCTGCTTACATGCGATGCTCCAGAAAAGCACTCGTATTGTCGTACGGGCGCTTGGGAAGCACATTGACGCATGAAAGGCACGCCTGATAATTTTCGCAACAAACACTGCCACGCCCACAACGCGCGCGAGAAACATCTTTTTCATTCGACACCTGGCGGCCGCACAAATCGCGCGTGAACCGGTGCGTGTGCTGCGCATTCAAACAGCATTGAATTTGTACGCTGTTGTCTGTCCTCGCAGGCATTTCCGAGCCAAACGGACAATGCGGGGCGGCACACTCGCACTTTCTTTTTCTGCCAAAACGTGTGTCTGGTTTCGTGGGCCCCCTTATAAACAGAATAACCCCGCCACTAAGCTGCAATGCACGCGGCCGCTTGCCCTGGAGAGACTTTGACAGGCAATGAGTTCCCTGGCGCAACAATATCAGCACTGGACGCTTCAACGATTGGATCCCACACTCCCGTTGGTGACCGCGCAGATTGAACAACATCATCACCTTTGCCTCGTTGTTCCCTACCTAGGCTCTGCCTAGAAGGGTTCTTACCCTGTTCTCTTAAAGGGCCGGGCACTGTTCCTCGCCCCGGGCGGTTCCCCCGGCATCTGCCCCGTGGTTCCCCCAGTGACGTCCCCTTAGCTTAGCGTTGCTTATCTCGTCTTAGCTTAGCCGATTCCCTACCTAGGCTCTGCCTAGAAGGGTTCTTACCCTGGGCCAGGCAGTGGTCCTCGCCCCAGGCGGTTCCCCCGGCATCCGCCCCGCGGTTCCCCCAGTGACGTCCCCTTAGCTTAGCGTTGCTTATCTCATCTTAGCTTAGCTTACTTCATCTTAGCTTAACTTAGTGTCATATTAGCTCAGGTGTATCTTAGCTTAGCTTACCTTAATCTTAGTTTCGCCGAGCTTTAGCACAGCACAGCACAGCATAGCATAGCAGAGCGTAGCATAGCATAGCGCAGCACAGCATATCATAGCATAGCATAGCATAGCACAGCGCAGCATTCCATAGCATAGCATAGCATAGCATAGCATAGCATAGCGCAGCACAGCACAGCACAGCACAGCATAACACCGCGCAGCATAGCATAACATAGCATAGCAGAGCATAGCGCAGCTTAGCATATCATAGCATAGCATAGCATAGCATAGCTTAGCATAACACAGTGCAGTATGACATAGCATAGCTTAGTATAGCATAGCATAGCATAACATAGCGCAGCATAGCATAGCATAGCATAGCGCAGCATAGCATGGCATAGCATAGCATAGCATAGCATAGCAACTAATGCTGCTTTCCTAGGGGCTCCAACTTCTAGGTAGGGTGGCACTGGGGTAATTTTTACAAACGAAAATCATCTAATGAATGAATGTTTCGATGTTGTTTTCCATCCGGAATCGGAGCGATTGCAAGCCGTAAGCATACAGAATGCACATAGCTCCTGAATGCCACAATTCACCGTAAAGCTCATCACATGGCATATTGAAGAGTGTTATCGAACTGTTTGTATTGATGAATGCTTTCCGTACCGCGTTTGCTGGAGGCGTTGTCTTCTCTTCTGCAGTCTCGATAGATGCGCATTCCCACTGCCCTAACAGATTTGACGCGCAAGGTCAGCACACGCTACAGCGGGTGACTCAAGGCGGGCCCGTTCCATGACGGGAGGTGTATACGGTATCAGATCGCTCTTGAACGGATGCGCTTTGCTTGAGCCAAAGTTTGATCCAAAACTTGAGCCAAACTGGCGATTTGAGAACGCGAACGAGAATCGAAATTTGAGTCGAAGACAAACACCGTCCTCCTGCTGGCGCTGCAGCAGTTGAGTGACTTGGAGCTTGGAGACAAGCATGTTCGATCCAATTCGTCAGCAGCCTAGCCATTCCCATGGTTGCTCGTCTTCACCTTCGCCTGGCTTGCGACACCACGTAACGTCTGAAGCCGTTACGGGAGGGGGGGCGCCGGCCAGACTGCCGGTACTTCACCTGGAGGCAGGTGCCATGGACGACTACGACGGCGGCAACGCGGCCAGCGACGAGCTGGACGCAGACTCCGATGTCATCGGGCTCCCTCCCGCGACACCACGCCCCGGGTTGCGGATGTCCCGCGCGTAACATCGCTGACCTGCGCCACAGAGAAGTGGGTGGAGAATGGAAAGCGGGAGGAGAACGAGGAAGAGGAGGCGAAGGACGAGGACGACGACGACGACGAGAGGAGAAGGGGTCGGCGCACAGCTGTTGACGAAACAGCGGCCCCGCACCGCAGGAGCGCAGTGCGAGGAAGCACAGAACCAAAAGGATGCTCAGAGGGGAAGGGGAGGCGCAGCAGCAGGGGGAGGGGGAGGGGGAGCAGGAGGAGAAAGAGGAGGGCCCAAAGGAAAGGGAGGGGAAAGGCCGGGGAGGACATGCGAGACGGCGGCTCCTTGGCCTGGGCCACCACAGAAGCGGCGCGTGGGCAGTTGTAGAGCAGAGCCAGCTCACCTGGCGAGAAGGCAGGAAAAGAGGAACTGGCGAATGGCATGTGGAAGAACAAAAGGAAGGAAAGCAAAGGAGGGGAGAGAGAGAGACAGCGGGAGAGGGAGGGGAGGGCGGGTAGAAGGGCGGAAGGGAGAGGAGGGGAGGGGAGAAAAGGTGAGGCGGACGGAGGGCACATGGGAGCAGCAGGGATCGGCAGTGGACATCCGGGAGGGCTTCGGCAGTGCACGTCGGGACGAGATCGAGGGGAGTCGAGATCGAACAGCGGAAAGATGAGGGGCGGGGGGACAGGAAGAGAGGGAGCGGTAAGGAGTGGTGCATGACGACCCCGAGGGCCAGGAGCCGCCGCGCGGCATCAAGGCCGAGGCAGAGGCCGGGTCGAGCAGGGAGCAGGTCTGCGGGTATTCTCTCGTATCCCTCCCCTCCCTTCCCCTTCCTCTCCCTCGTTTGGCCTTCCTCTCCCCTTCCTCTCCCTCTTCTCCCTCGTTTGGCCTCCCCTTCCTCTCTCTCTTACCCCTCCCCTCCCTTTTTCTCCTTTTCTCCCTCTTTTCCCCTTCTCTCTTACCCCTCCCTTCCCCTTCCTCTCCCTTCCCCTTCCTCTCCCCTCCCCTCCCTTCCCCTTCCCCTTCCCCTTCCCCTTCCCCTTCCCCTTCTTTTAGCCTTAGCTGTGTCCACATGGCGGATCGGCGCTCGTCGCGGGGCGTCGGGCGCTCGTCGCGGGGCGCCCGCGGGGCGCGCCAAAACGCGTGCGAGTGCACCGTGCGGACTCTGCTGCTGGGACCTTCGGTGGAACTCGCTACGGGGCCACGAAACGTGAGGGGTGTGCCGAATCGGGCACGGGTGCGCCATGCGGACCCTGCCGCTGGGGCATTCGGTGGAGCTCCCCATGGGGCCACGAAGCGTGAGAGTGGTGTGCCGAACTGGGTGCGGGTACGCCATGCGGACCGTGCTTGGGGGGGCCTTCGGTGGAGCTCCCCGTGGGGCCAAGGAACGTGTCGGGGGTGCGCCTAGTCGGGTGCGGGTACGCCATGCGGAACCTGCCGCTGGGGCCTTCGGTGGGCCTCCCCATGGGGCCACGGAACGTGTGGAAATATGCCGACTCGGATGCGGGTACGCCATGCGGGCCCTGCCGCTGGGGCCTTCGGTTGAGCTCCCTCTGAAACCACGCAGCGTGTGAGGGGCGTGCCAAATCGGGCGCGGGTACGCCATGCGGACCCTGCCTTTGGGACCTTCGACGGAGTTCCCTTTCGAAACCACGGAACGTGTCGGGGGTGCGCCGAGTCGGGTGCGGGTACGCCATGCGCACCCTGCCGCTGGGCCGTCGGTGGATCTCCCTAATTATGGGGCTACGAAACGTGTGAGGTGTGTGGCGAATACGGTTGCGGGTCCGTTATGCGGACCCTGCCGCTGGGGCCTTCGGTGGAATTCCTTATGGGGGCACGAAGCGTGTGAGGGGCGTGCCGAATCGAGCGCGTGTGCGCCATGCGGGCCCTTGTGCTGGGGCCTTCGGTGGAGCTCCCTTTCGGGGTCACGAAACGTGTGAGGGGTGTGCCGAATCGAGTGCGGGCACGCCATGCGGACCCTGCCGCTGGGGCCTTCGGTGGAGCTCCCTACGGAGCCACGAAACGTGTGAGGGGTATGACGATGCGGACCCTGCCGCTAGGGCCTTCGTGGACCTTCCCATGGGACCACGAAACGTGAGAGGGGTGTCACGAATCGGGTGCGGGTATGCTATGCAGACCCTGCCGCCGGGGCCTTCGGTGGAGCTCATGGGGCAACGAAGCGTGTGAGGGATGTGCTGGAATACCGGAACAGGGGCACGCGGACGGCAATGATGGGAGGAGGGAGGGGGGAGGAGGAAGGAAGAGGGAGGGAAAGCGGCGCGCGGTCTCTTCAAAGCGAGGGCCCAACACCACAGAAGGGTTGGGAATTGCACAGCATGAGCTGTGAGTGCTCCTCTTCTCTCGCCCCCGACAGCGTCCAGCTGGGCACGCGCCCCTCGCGCGCATCGAATGCTTACGCGCGTGACTCAAAAAGGCGAGCGCGTGCAGATGTGATGCCATCCGAACGTTCCGGCTCTTCAAGAGCGGCCTTCCCGCTGCCGCGCTGGCCACATTCGGTGCTCTGCTCTCGCCGGCCAGAGCTGCGCTCTCGCACCGATGCGGGCCACACTCTTCGAACCGGCTCCTTCCCCTTCGCCGCCGCCCCCCTCCGCCACTCTCCTCCGCACACCCCCTGACCCTCCTGCTCCCCCTGCTCATTCTGTTCCTCCTCCAACTTCTCCTCCTCTCCTCCTCCTCCTCCTCCACCTCCTCCTCCTGCTCCTGCTCCTCCTCCTCCTCCTCCACCTCCTCCTCCTGCTCCTGCTCCTGCTCCTGCTGCTCCTCCTCCTCCTCCTCCTCCTCCTCCTCCTCCTCCTCCTCCTCCTCCTCCTCCTCCAATGTGCAGGCGCCTCCCTTCCCGATTCCAGAGCAAACCATTGGCCAAATCTTGCAGCTGGCACTTGGCGATCCAGGTATCCTCGATCACCCCCAGAAGGGCGGACGGAAAAGGATTCCATGCCATGGAAATGGATGGGGAGGAGGGGCAGGATGTCAGACGTGGCGCGAGCGCGCCCGGCTTGCCCTCTCCCCCTCCCCCTCGTCCCCCGTCCTGTCCCATGCCTCCCCCCCCCATTCCGGCGGCTCGCCGAAGGCGTCCCCCACGGTGCACTCCTGCGGCGCGGCAGCCCCGCTGGTGCCGCTCCCGGCGCGACGCCCTCGAAGACTCGCGGGACGAGGGCCCGACGCAGGGCAGGTCGCGCTTGTCGGGGAGCCCGTCGAGGCGCGCAGAGCGCGCCTGGTGCCGAGCGACTGGCAAAACAAGTCGAGCACTGCAGAGTCTCGCCGCCTCGGGGAAGCGGCCCCCACACGCGGACCCCCTCCTTCCTGCGGTCCCTCCAGCGTCTTATGTTTCATCTTCTTCCTGCTCTCTCGGCGGTGGACAAACCTCCCTTCAGTAAACCACCCTTTAGTGAAAACGGCCTGGGACCGAAACCGACGGACCTGGACCCGCGAAAATGACGGCCGCGACGCCCTCTCGCGAATCGAAAACGGCCAATTCGCTAATCGACGCGTCAGGGTAGGAGGTCTGTCCACCCCCGACTCTGTCACTCCCCTCCACATATTCCTTCCCATCTATCGCCTCCCTCCTCCTCCTCCTCCACCTCCCCCAGCGCGGCACCGCGCTGCACCGCGCGACACGACGCCTGGGCGACTGAGAAAAGACTCGCACGCGCACGCCGGGCCGTCCAGGGCTTCGGAGGCCGCGTGGGCTGTCCAGCCTCAAGACACCAACAGTTGAATTGCAGTTACTTCCACGAGTGCCAGCCAAACCAACATCTCCAAGAACACCATCAATGCGTCACCATAGTGTCACCCTCCATCCTGAGTCCACAGAGCATGATATCCGAGAGCGCCAACCCCAAGATTCAACATCACCAAACACACACACACATATAACCCAATCCACCCAACAAACATCCTGGCTCCCTATGGGGCCACGTCACGTGTGAGGGGTGAGCCGAATCGAATGCGGGCACGCCATGCGGACCCTGCCGCTGGGGCCTTCGGTGGAGCTCCCTGTGGGGCCACGAAACGTGTCAGGGGTGGTGTGCCGGATTCAGTGCGGGTAACCTGCCGCTAGCGCTTGCGGTGGGGCTCCTTATGGGGCCACGAAGCGTGCGAGGGGTGTGCTAGTCCGGGCGCGGACCCTACCGCCAGGGCCTCTGGTGGAATTCCCTATGGGGCCAGGAAGCGTGTGAGGGGCGTGCCGAATCGGGTGCGGGTACGCCACGCGGACCCTGCCGCTGGGGCCTTCGGTGGAGCTGCCTATGGGGCCACGAAACTTGCGAGGGGTGTGCCGAATCGGGCGCGGGTGCGCCTCGCGGACCCTTCTGCTGGGGCCTTCGGTGGAGCTCCCTCTCGGGGCCACGAAACGTGCCAGGGGCGTGCCAAATCAGCTCTCTCTCTCTCTCTCTCTCTCTCTCGCCAAATCGGTCGCGGGCACGCCATGCGGGCCCCGCCGCCGGGGCCTTCGGCGGAGCTCCTCGCGAGGACGGGGAGGCGCGTGAGGGGTGTGCCGATAGCGGGCGCGGGTGCGCCCTGCGGGCCCTGCCGCCGGCGTGTTCGGCGGGACGCCCGATGGGGGCCACGAAAACCGTGCGCATGCCGAATCGGGCACGCCGAATCGGGCATGCGCGCACGGAATGTGAGGGGCATGCCGAATCGGCCACGGAATCGGGCACGAATGTGAGGGGCATGCGCGCACAGAATCGGCCACGGAATGTGAGGGGCATGCCGAATCGGGCACGGGCGCACCGTGCGGACCCTGCCAGTGGGCCCCTCGGTGGAGCCCCAGATAGGGGTCGAGAAGCGCGCGAGGGCGGGCACGGGTCTGCCATGCGGACCCTGCCGCCGGGGCCTGCGGTGAAGCCGCCTGTGGGGCCACGAAACTTGCGATGGGGTGTGTCACATTGGGCGCGGATACGCCATGGGGGACCTGCCGCTGGGGCCTTCGGTGGAGTTCCCTATGGGGCCACGAAGCGCGCGAAGGGCGTGCCACTTTGGGTGAGGGCGCGCCATGCGGACCCTGCCGCTGGGCCCTTCGGTGGAGCTCCCTATGGGGCCAAGAAGCGTGTGAGGGGTGTGCCGATTCGGGTGCGGGTACACCGTGCGGACCGAACCGCTGTGCCTTGCACTGGAGCCCCCTTGTCGCTCGCGCCACGAAACGTGTGCGGGCCGGGTTGGATCGTGCGCGGGCACGCCATGCGGACCCTGCTGTTGGGGTTTTCTGTAGAAGCCCCGATGGGGCCACGAAGCGCGCGAGGGGCGCACCGAAACAGAGACACGCGGATGGCAGACGCAAGGATGGGGGGGAGGGGGGATAGGCGAAGAGGAGGACAGGAGAAGGACGCGGAAACTGCCTTCGTTTCAAAGCGAAGGCCCAACACCACAGGATGGCTTGGA